TAGAAGAAGTATCTTATTCTACGAGTAACACACAACTTCTTCCTCCTTGGGGCAAAAGTTCCATATATTTTAATCTAGCTCTATTGCTTGTTTGCGAGTTATGCCACATACTACATGTATTGGATAACGAAAATGTCGGAAAAAGCATAAAATAATATTAGATTTTTAAAAAAGAATAGCAAAGTTGAAAAGGTCACTCGGGGATATTATGCTTCAATTACTACTGTAACGTGATAAGAAACACAAAGATTTTTTAAAAAATAATTAAACTCGACACATCCATAGCCTGCTAACTCAGATATTATTATCTTTCATAACTCCCTGATCAGGTCGAGTAAATTGCAATGTGAAATACTTTTTTATATTTCAAAGACTTTTGAATATGCGACACAGGGGAGAACAGAATAGGGATGTAGTACGTATTAATAAAATTGCTCACTACGTGGGTTTATTGTAATTTTTTAAATCAATAATATCATTTCTCTCAAACTTAAGTTTGCTCTTAAGTGATAGTTTTCCTCATGAGGGGAATCGGTGAGAAAAGGGTGATCTCAAGGTAAAAACTGACGATCGACGGACGCTGATTTGTACATGTTTGTGTAGGCTTCGATCCAAAAGATCGATATGTTTGATCGGAGAAAAATGAACTATAGTGCAAATAAAACCTATTGTTTCAACCCTCGTATCTTGTACTATCGAGCTCTTCTCTGCTTTCACTAGGGTTCGTCTCCGTGTTTCAAAATACGTCAGCCCCATCTTGTCATATTGTCTTTTGAACAGAGAAAAACTCGGTCAAATGAAATCTCTGGTGTAGGTTTTAAGCGCTTCACTGTCGCACGCAAGATACGCGAGTTCGATTCCCGTGAGGGAAGATTCTTTTTTTTTCTTTACAGCTAGCATCTCCGTTTATCTTCAGAAATATATTTCCCTTTTAGTGCTAGCTGGTCCTGAAAGGCATGGTCGGAATAGCTCGACTCCTATAAATGATCTAAATTGCCGAAAAGGTGTGGGGATAGAAAAAAAGCGGGGGGGGGGGGGGGTGATCTACAGTCACAAGAAAATACCCCAGTGAAACAAAACCATGTCATAGTTTTTCTGTATGTTTTTTGATCTACTTGCCACAAAATCCCAGTCTGTAACAGTCTCACAGTGAAAACGGTAAACGTTTTTAGAAATTCATAACAATATTGGTCAGTGTATGTAGAACTAGATTCTTGTTCATGTTTTAGTGATATTTTAGAAAGTTCAATAAATATTTTGCTTGAATTGGGGAAAGGGGAGAGGGGTGTCAAATTTGGTTGTATTTTTAACATGAAAATAAATCAAAATTTGCATGTTTCTTTCCAAGATTTTAAAAGTAATAAACCCGTATTCAATATTTGTGGTAACTTGACGTTTCGAAGCGTCGGTGAAGCTCCGTTTCCTCAAAATCACACAGCACCACGCTTCAGTTGCTTTTGAACAAAGTCGGGGTCATCGGTGGGGTAACGGTAAAACTCTTCACCGATGCAAGCAAAAGGGGTGAGTTCGATTCAAACAAAAAAAAAAGCTATTTTATCGTGAGTCTCAGTCTGTTTACTGGGATGTGTTACCCACTTAGTCCTGGTGTTAAAATAAATTTCGCCCCCCCCCCCCCCCCACACACACACTCTTAAATTTAAAAGCGTCTCGTGTGCGTGCATTCACGGCAATCTAGATGAGACCCCACGATGTGTGGACGCCCCAGAATTGCGTACTAGGTCAAGTAAGTTAAAATATGTGGGCTAAAGTGTACTCTAACCAACCCAGACTGGTCCTAACGGACGGAGAGTGGTCTATCTTCTGAATAATCCAATTTTGTGTGGAAAGGGGACGTAAAACTATATCCGCTGGGAAATCTTTACACTTTACCCTTTCACACGCATGAAAAGAGTGACTTCTGTACACTTGATCAGTTACGGGAAGGAATCTGTGATTTCGTTCCTGCAATAAATCCGATTATCAATAACTGTCGTTCTAAGTAGATTAACACGACTGACGCAAATGGGAAAATCTGGACGTCCGTTGGTGCTTACGAAATGCGAAATTTGCAACAGAGTCAGGTGTTCGAATTTCAATATAATTATGCAGTTAGTGACCTCACCTTTTGCTCTCCCATACTCCTTCTGTTAAACGCAGAATCATACTTTCGTTCATATCTAACAGTCCAACTTACGTATTTGGGAAAAATGATTTTCCAGCCCATCAAATTGTGCTTCAGTAGCATTATTATCAATAGCACAAGCTCTCTCTCTCTCTCTCTCTCTCTCTCTCTCTCTCTCTCTCTCTCTCTCTCTCACACACACACACACACACACACACACACACACACACACACACACACACACACACACACACACTCACTCATACAAACACACACATACCCACACATTCTCTCTCACACGTAAACTCATGCACAATTACAATCACAAACACTAACATAGGCAGGCACGTACGAAAAACAAAACCATCAGCCCACCAGATCGCAATGGTTGGCTTTCGCCCTTCTTAGACTTTCGCTGGTCGTTCCCTCTCGGTGATTGACCACCTTGGTAATCCTTTGGTAAACTTCAAGAATCCTTACTTCCTTACCTTTACCCTCAGAATGATACGCCCGATTGACCTAATCCGTTTTCTTCTTTTTGATTGGTTGACCTGTTAATAAGGTGTGCACATTGGGGTACTGTCGAAATCGAAACGTTCATCATTGGCCTGTGACCTCTTTTGGCATTAACATTCCATTAATTCATAATAATGCAGTGGGTACACTGAGATGTCGATCGATGTCCAACTGTGCGGCAAAAGACGCCACACGGACTTTCGATGAGGACAAATTCGAATTGGGTGCACACTGTTTGAATGCTCATACAGCCAATCGTATTATTAGTGTTTGTACGCTTCATATCCATGAATAGGAGAAATAAAAAACGGTTGGCGTAACTGGTTATTTATGGCTCAATTAGTAACGAGAATCTCATTTTGGAGACGCACGTGCCCAGAGACTTGAGTAACTGTTTAACGCAAGAAACATAAGAAATATTATAATGTGTAGAGGTCAGGACTAAAGAGCCAACATGCGAAGAAGTTAGATCAACGTAAGCTTCTCATAAATACATAACTAAATAAAATTATCAGACTCTACTAGAATAACGGGAAAAACATTTTGGGAATTTATTCACCTATACAACAATAGCAGATTCTCGAATTCACTTAATGATACAGATTTCAGATTTTGTGACGCATTTGTTTCTTCATTCACTTTTCTGTAAAAGTGGAAATTCTTACAGGCTTGAAGTGTTGCGTGTATGTTGATTATTCTCTTGTATATTGACTCCTGGCTCTTCCCTTAGTGTTGGTAAGTGTGAGTGTCGGGTTGCCACACATGGTGGCTGTAGTATAAAAACAAACGTTTATATTGAGTACTATTGTTTATCACATAAGATTAGTATATTGTTTGTCATAATCAAATATTGAAGAATAATTTTAGTTTTTGTATACTTTAGAACATTATAACTGAAAAACATTGTCTAAAGCAGAAAAGCTCTTAAGAGTTTTAGCGAGTGTTTCGATTTCTGTGCCATGTTGGCATGTCCTTCCTGGAACATGAACTTACTGATTTTACTTTCTTTGATGTATTTTTTCTCTTTTTTTCTCTTTTTTTTGTGCAAATAAAAAACCAAATGGTAGGCGTCTCTCGTTAGTGACTAACAAAAGAAAGTAGTAACAATTACATAATCATGAAAAGAAATTCTTCTATTAGCAAAGGGGCCCTCTACTAATGTACAGCCACGTCTATTTCACTTTTTAATTAAGCATGAACGGTATCTAAGACGTCAAAGGATGTACTACGTACATAATCAAGAGTACATAATATTGACTTACATTTTCCAGGTACGTTGAAGAGTAACGTGCAGCTCTATCTATGGGAATTTTTGGTGTAATGTGGAGTTTAAAAAAGAAAAAAGTAAACTGTTTACTCCCTTGTTAATTCGGTTCGTATTCTTCTTTATTTCATGAGGCTTTAAACCCCTGGCATGTACGGACGTCTGTGTAGTAGCAGTTAAGTTTACACTGTCTTACTCAGAGGACGTGAGTTCGATTTTCAGACGTGGAGGTCTTGTTTTATTGAGAATCTTGGTCTTTCTGCTGGGACGTTTCAGCCTATCTTCCTTATACTCCTCCTGTTTGTGTTTGTTAGTCTCTTTTAAGACCTCTAATCTTCGGCACTTATATATTATTATTGTGCTGCAAGTGCCGTAACATACTTACTAATGCTAAAAAGTAATCAAGACAGCTTGAAGATTTTAACACCGATTTTGGGGAGAAGGGAGTGGGGACGGGGGGGGGGGGGGAAACCTTTAGCCAGCACTTCTATTCCTTCATGTACAGCTTCTGTGTAGAGAAACGTTGACCTCCCACCAGGCTGTTCCAGTACAGACGGTCGTGAACGAAGACCTTTGTTTCTGTCAAAAGCTTCACTGTCAGTCCTTTCAGTGCTGTTTTCTGTCTCTCATTCCATTTATCTTACACACTATTTTTTCACCTCTGCTCTTTCCTATAGAATGGTGCCTGTGGTGAGGCGGTGAGGCATTACTACGTAGTATGCAGCAGACCTGAGTTCCATTTCCATGTGTCGAGAATCGAGTGTCTCAATCAGGCTTTCTTTTCGAACACTGCTCCCTCTCAGCGTAGGCTGGTTCTGATAGGTGGGGTCGAAAAAACCTGGCTTCTGAATGATCTAAATTGTGTTGATCAGGGTGTAAAACATCTACAAGCTACACTACCTATCTATCACAATAGTGACATGTTGTTGGACGATCTGTCTGCTGTTTAAGGTTGTTGTTGTTGTTGTTTTTTTGTATTTATTGTTGTTGCAGTTTTTGTTTGTCTTTTTCAAGTCGCCTTGCACCTACGCACAGGACAAGATTCAAGAGGTGTAAGTTCAAAAAGGACACTTTTTTAAATTTTTTCTAGAATCAACCATGACTCCTTGGGGCACGATCCTGGCGGCCTTGGCCCTCTTAGGCCTTACGACGTTCCTCCTACCAGTAGCCCAGGCTTCCACCAAGTCCGAAGTGTACGCCCTGTACAGCATGCTATTCGACGCCAACTTTTACAACAAAGATGTGAGGCCTGTGGACAATTCTTCCAAGTCGCTTGAGATCTTCGTGACCTACAGTCTGCTGTCTCTTGTCTCAGTAAGTTCTAACATTTTCCGGGGATCAGGCGATTGAGGCTAGATCTACACGACCTACTGTTTGCTATCTTTTGTCTAAGTTCTGGCGTTTTTCCTGGATTAGACTACTAACGTAAGATCTACATGACCTACTAGCTGCTATCGTTTGTCTAAGTTCCGGCCTTTTCCGGAGATTAGGAACGAGTACCAGCTTATTGCTACCCTAGAATTACTAAGTTATATTTGTTCAGTACCTAGTGTGCGTGTGTGTGTATGTGTGTGTGTGTGTGTGTGTGTGTGTGTGTGTGTGTGTGTGTGTGTGTGTGTATGTGAGTGCATGTTTGTATGTCTGTGAGTATATGTACTTGTTTGTGTTAGATATGGATAGATAGATAGATAGATAGAAGATAGATAGATAGATAGATAGATAGATAGATAGATAGATAGATAGATAGATAGATAGATAGATAGAGAACGCAAGAGAGAGAGAGAGAGAGAGAGAGAGAGAGAGAGAGAGAGAGAGAGAGAGAGAGAGAGAGAGCAAGAGAGAGAAAGAGAAATATAATATACAAACAAAGAAATTGTTAGATTTTACAACATGTTGATCTTTTTTTTAAAGCAATTCTTTGAATATCTTGATAATGACTCCGAGCAATCTTACGATTTTGATAGAGCAGATAAAACATCCGGTTTCTGACCTCATGGTCTTAGTAACTCAAAACAGCCAAATATGTCAGACAGAACTTTGTAATTCTAAGATAGCGTTATGGCAAGCAATATTAGATTTAAAAAAAAACAAAACTGTACGGGGGCCCGTACTGGTTAACCAAAAGGCTGGCACTTTGTTTATGGGTCACATTTTGGGTACATTGCTTATAGAGTGAATGGAAGTCGTAACACGACATAATGTTGTTCTATTTGGTTACTTAGATACGCTGGTGAGGCAATGTAACTGTTTACTCTGATACTTTGACACTCTGTAATAATTACTCTCTTATCTCAGTTTAGGTATCTAAGCTCCTCAAAGTTCGGACGTTGTGCTATAAAAAGAATGCCTTCAGCATGTGTGTGTGTGTGTGTGTGTGTGTGTGTGTGTGTGTGTGTGTGTGTGTGTATGTGTGTTTGTGTTTGTATGTGTCTGTGAGTATGTGTACGTATAGGTATAAAGATAGAAAATAGACATATAGATAGATAAATAGACAGACGGATAGATAGATAGACAGACAGATAAACAGAAAGAAATATAGACAGATTGACAGATAGATAGATAGAAAGACAGATAGATAGATAGAAAGACAGATAGATAGATAGATAGATAGATAGATAGATAGATAGATAGATAGATAGATAGATAGATAGATAGATAGATAGATAGATAGATAGATAGATAACGCAAGAGAGAGAGAGAGAGAGAGAAATAATATATAAACAATGAACTAGAAAGGGTGACACGGGGAGAAAGAGAGAGAGCGAGAGAGAGAGAGAGAGAGAGAGAGAGAGAGAGAGAGAGAGAGAGAGAGAGAGAGAGAGAGAGAGAGAGAGAGAGAGAGAGAGAGAGAGAGGACTCTAGGACTATAGGGAATATCTTTTTTTTTTAGTAAATGTTTTACGGCGCTTCAACTGCTTAAGGCCATAAGAGCGCGCGGGACACATTAAACTTTTTCAGTTGGTAGGAAATTTTGAATTTTGCCCATTTGGCGGCCGAAGTCTACTTTTATCGATTTTAGACCAGCAAGGGATCTTTAACGTGCGCAACTTGCACACTGGCCCTCCGATATTTTTCGCCCTTGTCCAAGAAGGCTAGGTGTAGATCTTTCCTACCAGAAGACCAGGGGTGTGGCTGAAAGACATCAGTAAGAAAAAGCCAAGGAGTAGCAGTAGAAAGGCTGCAGAAAGAGTCAGGAGCCCAGAGTAGGGTGCAAAGGAGGTGAGGGGGTGGGGGAAGAAAAAGGAGACGGAAGCAAACGACAGAACATTGTTAGAGAGCAGGAAAGGAGGTAAAAGGATACAGTTTTAAAGAAGAAAATATTTCTGTCACTACCCGGATTCGAACCCTATACCTTTGAATGAGAGGCCAACAACTACTTAACATCTGGGCTACGAGAGCCCCCAGGGAAATCTCCATAATTCTGCAGGGACTTTGCATCCGTCTCATCTACGGTTGGCCCTGACTGGTATTATAGAAACAGCCACCCCCTGAATGATGTAAATTGTCTCGATTAGTGCATAAAACATTTACAATGACAATGATTACCTTCATTTCTACTTCGCAGGTTGATGAGAAGTCCCAAACAATGACCACAAATACTATTTTGGAACTGGAGTGGAACGACGAGTATCTGTCATGGGACCCTGTGAATTACGGAGGCATCCAAAGCATCCTGGCACCTCAGAAGAAAATGTGGATTCCAGACATAACAGTTGGGAACAGCGTTAAAGCCGTTGAAGAGTTGGGGTAAGTCTTTCATGAACAAATGCCAATGCAGTGCAATTAACTATGGCATTCTTAGGCAACAAAGAAGTGAGGCGCCATGAATCCTACCTAAGCCCCAATGACTTGTGGGTTGTCAGTGGATGACAAAGGCTAGCACAGAAAACTGTGCACAAACCGGCAGGAGGCAGCCGGAAACCATTGCTATAATATCCCAAGAATAATCATGGAAAAGAAAAAATAGAGTCAACCCTTCTGCATGGCTGTAAATGCAGGACAACCACTAAAGACAGTGAAATTAAAATAGAACCAGCAGAAATTTGGTTTCTTAGAACGCTGCTGAGAATATCGTGGAAGGAATAGAAATCAAATAAGGTAGTGCTTTATGAGAGCCACGTGGGGCGCTCTCTGTTAAAAGCAATCTGGAAACAACGACAAAAGAGGTTTTCGGGACACTTGAATAGACATAAAGGTCTTGAACATCCAGCTCTCACTGGCAAAATCGAAGGCAAACGAGGCAGGGGTAGGCCCATGGCAACTTAGTAAGGGAACCTAAACAAATAGGTAACGGGGAAAGATCAGGGAAACGTAGCTTTTTTAAAGAGCATCAGAGAAAAGGAATGAATGGAGAACCATTATCATCGATGTCTGTCCCAGATCTTGCACTGGATCATGATGATGATGATGATGATGATGATGATGATGATGATGATGATGATGATGATGATGATGATGATATTTCTGCATTTTTAAATTCGAATTTTCTTTGGTACTCAGTTTGCAAAATTATTTGGGAAGAACATGGGCGAACTATTTTTCTGTGAAACAGACCCCCCCACCCCCCTCACACCCGCACACATTTTTTACGTCCGTGTTTACTATTTTGCTAATGACAATTTTGGCCTTCTTTACCTTTTTTCTCTTAATTTCACTCTTTATTTCTGTTTATATTATAACTTTATTAAGTGACTTCTATTTTTATAATATATTAGGCATATTAAAACTCTAAACCGATTTTTATAGGTTCGTGCTATTTTCAAACTTTAAACTACTTTCACCATAACTTAAGTTATAGAACTGTGCTGTCTTCGAAATTTAGGGTGAAAACACCTTGAGATATTAGCAAATAGGACAAAATTTGCAGAAGACAACACATCCATAATA